CCTATAAATTAGATTTGAAGGTAGAGGAAACCAACAACTTATCTTTGATGCTCTAGGTTCTCTTGATCATATTGGTGTGCATATTGGATATTTCATATTAGATGAGGGGTGGCAACAGGTTAATAAAAATAGACAATTACAAAATTTTGAACCTAAAGCCGAACTTTACCCGGATGGATTTAAGGGCATGATAAAAAATATTAAAGAATGGTTTCCATATATAAAATACTTTGGTGTATGGTAATAACTTTTTTTTTCATCGGTTTAATCTAGTCATGTTAAAAAGAAATATTAATTCAATTTCTTAATTCCAATTCTTTAGGCATTCACTTTGGGGTTATTGGAATGGAGTAGATCCAAACTCCGAATTGTCAGCTTCTTACAGAATAGAAAGAGTAAAACATTCGAATGAAATAATCCATCTTGTTATACCACAAGATATTCATAAGTTTTACAATGATTTTTACAATTATTTAAAAGATCAAGGTGTTGATATGGTAAAAGTTGATTCGCAAGGAAGCTTTGATTTAATTGATTACGGTCAAAGTAGGCATCGGCGATGGTGGAGAGAATATCATGATGCTTTAAAAACAAATAGTAAAGAATATTTTGATAATCGAATGATTTATTGTATGGCGCATACTCCTAATATTATACAACAAGTCTTGTCTGGTTCAGACTCGAGTGATGATATACCTATAAGTAGACCATTGTTTAGGTATTTTTAATATGGTGTTTACCTTTTATTTATGAATTTAAGATCTATGCTTATATAACATATATGCTGTTATAGAAATAGTGATGATTATTTTCCGAATATTTATGAATCACATACATGGCATATTTATGCAAACACAATTAATAGCATATGGACCAGTACAACGCATAGCTTATTAGATTGGTAAGATATTATATTTTATATCATTATTTTCATAACTTATTATATTGCATAGCCTTATTTCACTATTATGTCAAATATTATATTGCCTTTATCAGGGATATGTTTCAATCACACCATAGATTTGGTGAATATCATGCTGCAGCAAGGGCAATTAGTGGAGGCCCATTGTACATTTCAGATAATGGAAGAATATGTAGTACTAAGGCATATTTAGGAAGCAATTTGTTGAAAAATGTCAAATATGATATGGATAAGAAATTACTTTCAATTGGATTAGATAAAGAGGATATAGAGAACGATGGTCAAAGAACTGAATTCAGAATGTTAAACCAAGATATGTTAAACGTGGAATTGTTTTTGGAGATTATAGTTGAGTAAAAAATAAAATTTTTACTCGCGTTGAAAACACAAAAAATAGTATAATCATGTGGTATAATCACGTGATGGTTGAATTTGATTGGTTAATATGATTACATGTACGGATATTCTATTTATATATATATATAGTAAATTTTAAAGACGAACTTTTGCAGTTTTGTAATGTTTTATCTTACAAACAAATCTGAAAGAGGGGTTTTTGATTTAACTTTTAAAATGACGTTTAGATATAAAATTTTAAAACTTTGCTTAATTTATAAAATTTCACTTTTACGAAAAAATGGATATCAAATACTGTTTGTATCCTTTAAACATTTATACTTTCAGAATGTAGTCTTACTAAAAAAACTATCAATTTGTAAGAGGAATTTTTATTTAATATATAATTTATCGTAATGTTTTTTTCAAAGCGGTTAAAATTAAGTATCATACGATAGAATAAAAAATCCAATTTAGGGATTGAAAAACCCGGGTAGAAAGTGTTACTATACGATTACCCGAAATATATAATAACTTACCCGGATAACCTGGGTAGAGATTTTCTCAACGGGTTCAATC